CCCCCGCCGCACCCCGATACTTCCAGGGCGAGTTTGCAGGTGCGGGCTCCTCAGTCCCTCCTCCTCTGGCGCGGGCGGCGGCGAGGCTGGCCAGGGGGGGAGCGACGCATGTCTCGCCCCCTCGGCCCCGTAGCGCCTCAAGACTTGAAGGTGGGGGGCAATGCCTGCTCACCCCACACCTCTTCCCTCCTGCTGGGGTGGCTCTTCCCCCTCAAACGGCTCTCGAGGGAGGTGGGGCGCGAGGAAGGGGAGAAAGAAGCAGCTCGGCTGCCCGGCGGCGGCAGCTCCCGCTCGGCCGGGCGAGCAACAAGCGCCGGAGCGGGAGGGACGGGATTGTAGATCCGGCTCCGGGCTCCCGGGGCGGGAGCGCAGCCCCTGGCATTTAAAGAGACAGGCGCTCGCTCGCGGAGCCCAGGCCTTTTCCTCACTGTGCAGAGCCTCCGGGATCCCCGCCCCGTCCGGCCCACGGAGGCCGCGGGGCTCCGCCCAGGCCACGCCCCCGCGCCCGAGCGGGTTTAAATCCCGCTGGTGTTTGAGCTGCGCGCCCGCCGCGCGCGCTGTGAGCGCAGGTGCTGCGCCCCCGCCGGGAGCCCGCTCGTCCTAGCCCCGGCCTGCCGCGGGCTCCTCGCTGCTTGCTCCGTTAGCATTTTCCAGCTGTAGGCTTTGAAGAGAAGTTGGAAGGCACACGCCCCCTGCCACTGTAGAGATGAGAGAGGGAATTCGAGTTTGCTGTTTGTTTTCTTTCCCCTTGGCCTCTTCTTTGCCATTAGGAAGCAAACACAGGCCTTTTCTTCCCTGGAACATATTTCTTGCCAATGTTCACAGCAAAGATTTTTTTTAAGTGGGACAGCTCAAGAAGTGTGCCAGTTTAGAAGTATTTCCAGCATGATTGCTGTGAAACTTTCGGGTAGGAAAAAAACTCACAGAAAGGAAGCAGTAATGAAACAGAAGGAAGGCTTAGTTATTGGCTTACCTCCTAGACCAGCGCTGTGTTTATTAGATGTCCCTCGAAGTTAGCAAAAAGTTCATTTCACAGCCTCGGTTGTTTCCAGTTACTAGTTGGTCTGGTAGTGAGTGCAAGTATTCCGCTCTGTTTTTCTTGGGGGTAAGGGATGTAGGATTGCCTAATAGTCCTCAGATTAAGAATAAGTTAGCAGAGGCCCCTGGTGGATATATTTCCTTCCTGCTGATTTACAGAAGGAAGTGACAGAGAGATTTACTGAAGGAGAGTATTGCCTATTAACCTCCACCACAAGAGGACACTTCCTCCCTCCCCCCTCCATTGCAGGTTTGTGTTTTGTACCCAAGAGTTAGGCTGCCAAAGTGTTCTTTATTCGTTATTTGAAAAAAATATATATATCATGGATCTGTGTGGGGGTGGAGGGTTTACAATAGACAAGCTTAGATATTCACTGGAACACCCTAACTAATTTGTGGTGGAATTAAGAATGCAACTCAAGACCTCCTCTACCCTGTTTTCCATCAGTTTCTTTTGACTAAGTTTTTCCAGGTAACACTATTATTTATTCAGTGTGTATACCAACCAGTGGAAACAGAAATATACTAACAGTGCTGTGATCCTTCTCAGTTTAAGGGGGGAAAAATCAATCTACTTATGTACTTTTGAGCCAGAACAATCAATATTAGCAAGGCCATGATGGGAGTGAGTCCTTCAACAAGTCTAAGATCATAGTATAAGCTAGACCAAAAAGAGACTTCTATGCAGATTAAATTTATGTATGGTCTGACCAGCCTTAGGCAAGTGTGGTCAGATGGGACCTCACCCCCACCTTTTGATAACAGTGCTCTGGGGGCTGCTGTTACCTGAGTGGTATTTGCCACTGCTACGTGAGCTCATGTAGGTACCCATTTTACAGGGAGAGTTAGGGTTAGGGAGGCAATGGTGAGTCATCCCATGTCTGCTGGACGGGGGGAAACCTTTGCTACTGTCGGCTGTGGTAGGCCACTGAGTAGGTTGGATGGTGATAAGAGAATCCCTAGGACACAGTAGTATGACAGTTTGGAGCCAGCACTCCCAGGCAAAGATCTAATAAGGAAAAACACTGTGAAAAATAATATAAACAAAGCCACTTCAAAATAGAGCAGTCGGAGCTGTCATCCCAGAGGAACTGCCTTGCATGTCTTATGCCTCAAACCTTTGGAAAGTTAAACCTGGGCAAAATAACCTTTGGACTTGGCCTAAAGCAACACTGTATTCCAAACAATTGTGTTTGTTTTTTCTTTATGATCTAGTTAAAATCTTTTATTTTTATATATTTTCTTTTAAAAATTTCATTGAAATACAATTCACATACAGTAAAATTTATCCAATTAAATTAATTTTAGTACAGTCACAGAGTTGTGTAACCATCATAATAGAATTTTAGAATATTTCCATCACCCCCCCAAAGAAACCCCATACCCATTAGCAGTCACTCCACATTTCTTCCACTTCCCCCCACCCCAGCCCTAGACAACCACTAATCTACTTTCTGTCTCCATAGTTTTGACTCTTCTAGACATTTCACATAAATGGAATCATACAATATGCGATCTTTTTGTGACTGGCTTCTCTGAAGTAACATGTTTTCAAAGTCCAGCCATGTCACAGCAAATGACTATAGGACTGAAGGTTAAACACGTTCTTTAGAATTAGAGTCACTGTTAGCTTATCTGCAGCTATAGTAATTCCTTCCTTCTATTCCTGTAATTGCAGCTAGAGAGGTGGAATAGCTTTGGGGTTTTAATGTTGGCACTCTGGCTGCCCTGTGGAAGATGAATGAGAGAGGAGGCAGGTCCCTTAGAGGGGCAGGCTGTGGGGAGGAAAGGTCATGCAGATGGAGCCTCGCAAGCCAAGGACAAAGCCCCTGGAGGAGCCTTTCCCAAGAGCAGCCTCTTGGGAAAGAAGTGTTGTTAGTTGGATTTGAATTCTCAGCCATACTGTAGCTTTATCCCTCCATCGGTGACCCAAGTGTCACATCCCACACATGTCCTGAGAGAAGGTACTCAGTGAAAAGCTGTGTTGAATGCCAGTTAGTGACTCTCACAGTATTCCTGCCCAGAAGAGTGGGGAGTAATCGAGAATTGATGTTTCTACTGGATGAGGCCTTGGCACTGCCCCTGCAGATGTGGGAGAGACCTCGGTTTAGATGGGTAGTTTTAACAATGTACAAAATACCCACTCCTTGGAATATATCCTAAGAATCCTGAAACACCAATCAGGATATGCACCCCTATGTTCATAGCAGCACAATTTACAATAGCTAAGATCTGGAAAGAGCCCAAGTGCCCATCAGTAGATGAGTGGATATAAAAGCTGTGGGACATTCACACCATGGAATACTATACAGCTGTGAGAGAGGGATCGCTTACCCTTTGGGACAGCATAGATGGACCTGAAGAGAATTATACTAAGCGAAATAAGCCAGGCAGAGAAAGACAAGTATCACATGATCTCACTTATATGTGGAATCTAATGAACAAAATAAACTAATGAACAAAACAGATCCAGAGACACTGAAACATGCAACAGATGGGTATCTCAGAGGAAAGGGGGGAGGGCGGGAAGAGATTAAACAAAAAATTTATATGCGTACATGCATAGCCCAGGAAGGCCTGGGGTGGGG